TCTACACAGGAGGATCCCAAGGGGGGCAATGCGGAAAGAAGGGAGCTTTCTGCAAATACTGCAAGAAGTCTGGCCACTCCATTGACCAGTGCTACAAGCGTCAGGCTGCTGATGAACGGCGCAACGCCTCCAACCAGCAACCCTCAGCTCAATCCAAGCCTTCTGCCGCAACCTCCACTGTGTCGCCTCCCTCGGTCGCCAGTACTTCTCAGTCCCCTGCGGTCATTACGGCAAAGGACAAAGGGAAAGGGACGATCATAAGCTGCATGGCTCGCCGCAGCAGAGGGTTCCGCTACTGGGATCGGGATCGAATTTCATTCCCTTCCGACAACCCCACCCCCGTTGCGTCCAGCTCAGATAACGACCCAACGGTCTTTACCTGGTCGACTCGCCCTTCAGACATCCCTCCTGACTTCGAGCTTCCTCCTCCTACTCCGGAATCGCCGCCGAGCATTCCCGCAAGTAGATATTTCGCTCTCTCGCCGTACACCGGCGACTTCGATCGCATCATTACACCCAGGATCGCCAACCTTGCCCGCCAGCGCCACGAGGATCTGGACACCTGGTACCTCGACAGTTGCTGCGGGCAACACATGGTGGGATCATCAAAGTTCATCAGCAACTCTCGGCGCATGCGACGACCTTGCGAAATCACCGCCACCAACAACGGAAAAATGAAGGCACATGAGATTGGGGAGATCTACCTCGAGGCGAATGACACGAAATTTACCATTCACATCGGAGACGTCCTCGTCGCGCCAGATCTCCAATACAACCTGCTCTCGTCAGCTCAACTAATGCAATCCGGATGATATAACACGCGAAGCTCACAACTACAATAGCGAAACACGCCGATCACCCGATGCCGAGTCACCACAACCCAACCTGTCGCAAGACACCCTCCGCCTCGGCAACGACAGTGATGACGACGTGGTCGAAGTTACCAGCTCCCACGACTACGACCGTCTTCTCTACGAAAAGACCAACGAAACCGGTCTTCGGGTTCTCGGCCTCGCCGTTGCAGTTCGCCACACCTCGCCCAAGGAACCCACCACCGTCCGCCAAGCCCTGTCTGGCCCCGACAGCGACAAATGGAGAGCAGCCATGGCCGCCGAAATCGCGTCGCTGAAGAAGCGCGGCACCTGGAAGCTGGTTCCACGGTCATCGGCAAAGGGGAGGAAAATTCTCAGCGGCAAATGGGTTTTTCGCATCAAAACTCTCGCCGATGGCTCGATCGACAAGTACAAGGCGCGCTGGGTGGTGCGGGAATTCGAGCAATTTCACCTGGTGGACTTCACCCTCACCTACGCTCCAGGCGGCCATCACACTTCGGTGCGCATCCTCATCTGCATCGCCGCCGTCAAACAGCGACCGCTCCGGCAAATCGACGTCGGAAGCGCCTTCCTGTACGCTCCCGTTGATGCCATCATCTTCGTCGAACAACCCCACGCATTCGAAGAAAGCGACGGCGCCGTGTGCCTCCTCCAAAAGTCTCTCTACGGAATCAAGCAAGCTCCTCGTCTGTGGCAGCAGTACCTGCATTCCGTCCTCCTTGAGCTCGGCTTCACTCAACTGCCGCACGATCTCGGAATGTACAGGCGGGAGTCGCGCGGAAAGTTCATCCTCCTCGTCGCCTACGTCGACGATCTTCTCTACACCGGGGACGACACGGAGCTACTCGACCAATTCGAGGCCGACATCAAGGAGAAGCTTGAAGTCACCGTCAATCACAACGTCACCCAATTCCTCGGCCTCAACGTAACCCAGTCCGCCTCCTCCATTCACCTCTCCGCCGCCAAATACGCCGAAACACTCGCGAAGCGGTTCGCCATCGCTCCCATCAACCTCACTACCCCCTACCGCACTCCTCCTCCTAACCACGAGCCCGACACCACGCCACTCTCTCCTAACGACCATCGTCTCTATCAGCAGCAGCTCGGCTGCCTCCTGTTCGCCGCCGTCACGTGCCGGCCCGATCTCTCCTACGTCGCTAGCCAGCTCGCACAGTATCTGAAGCGACCTGAAGGGGAGAATCTGTCAGAGGTCCACTGGTGATCCCCGATTGATCCTAGGGAAGGGTTACAGGCACGTTGGCCTGGGGGGTTATTGGCGCACTCACCCGCCATACAAATAAGCCCTTTTATCCCAGTGGTTAGTGGTTGGGATTCTGACATGGTATCAGAGCAAAGGTCTCGGGTTCGAATCCCGGTGTGTGCACCTCGGGCATCCCAGTGCGGGGGGGTGTCAGAGGTCCACTGGTGATCCCCGATTGATCCTAGGGAAGGGTTACAGGCACGTTGGCCTGGGGGGTTATTGGCGCACTCACCCGCTATACAATTAAGCCCTTATATCCTAGTGGTTAGTGGTTGGGATTCTAACAGAATCTACTGGATCTACGCCGAGCACTGCAGTATTTCATCTCCACTCCCGACGTCGGCCTCACCTACGAAGCCAACCTCACCGCTACTCTGCAGCTTCATGGCTACGTGGATGCCGATCATGCTGGAGATGTTGATAACAGACGCTCCCGTACAGGATTCATTTTCCAACTCCAACCTGCTGGACTCATCTCTTGGAACTCCCAGAAGCAGGAACTCATCGCTCTTTCGTCAGCTGAAGCAGAATTCATCGCTGCTAGTGCAGCTGTTCGCGAAGGTCTGTACCTGATGGAGCTCCTGCAGGAGGCGAAAGTGACGATGAACGGGCATTTCACGTTACTCTGCGACAATCAGAGCGCGATAAAGATCGCGAACAAGCCCGGCTTCGTCAACCGCACCAAGCACATCGGCCTTCGCTACTTCTTCGTGAAGGACGAAATCGACAAGGGGAGAGTCAAGCTGACGTACTGCCCGACCGGTGACATGGCAGCCGACTTCCTGACGAAGAAACTGCCACGTCAGCAGTACCAGCACTGCGCCAACCTCTGTGGGATCACCAAGAAATTTCACGTGGCCCACCTTCTGGAATGAAGGGGAGTGTTGGAATAACCGAAAGGTTATAAAGGCATTCCCGAAGTTGCTCCACTGTACTAGTACCGCATTAGCTCATATAGAGCACGCGGAATCTCGAGGGTCACCCGAAGGTCAACCGTCTAAGATAGTCAACGGTCGTGACCCTTGACGATCCAGTAACCGCGCGACAGTTAACTGACTGCAACATGGTAACTGTCGAGAATAGCAATAGTCGTGGTTACTGTAGCTATGTAATACAGTTAATAAGGGAATGTACCCCTCAGAGTACATGGCTAGATAGTTTGCTATTTAATTTCTTGTACTCCTACTTTCTAATCATCTTGTTCTCCTTCAACTATTATTCAACAAGGTCACTACAGAGACTTCACTGTCTCCTTTCAGGCTTAACACATTCTATCCTATCCACTGATCCTTCGGTTGTATCAGCATCTAGTAAAACTAATAGTTCACGCCCTTTGATTATTTACTTGCAACCACAACCATACTGTTTGTCTTGTGAACAACATCTGTAGATATGTTGGAGGTACGTATATTGAAGTTATTGCCTTTTGAATGTGTATCTTTGGTTTTGTTGGCACTGGCACCAGATTGAGTTTGCGCTCTTCGTTACAAGGAATTCGCGCATCGTCGTAGCACGTCTCTTCGCAAAGCCAACAAGACCAGATGCCGAAGCCCACCCAGAAGTGGCGGGAACGACCTTCCGTGCTTTGCGCCACCAACCAGCAACTTTTGCCCCACCCATCATACCCCTCCCGTTCCCTCTAGCAAATCAGAAACACCCAAAAAGGACCATCCACGTCAACCTTTGCTCTTCTCCAGCCGAACCGCGACCACTCAGCCAGATTTTCCAGGCCCCGCGACTCGAGCAATGTTTCCACTTTACAGGCCATCCAATGTTCACTGCACATTGCATCGAGCGTGAGAGCCATCTCATCCCATCCCATCCCATCGCACCCAGCCAGCTCACTTTCCCACCACTCCCACCAGCAGCACCCATCACATCATATGCTGGGCAGTGTTGTTTGAACCTGGTGTAGCTGAACCCTGTCTCATCTTGTCAGGTCGAGATTACTCCACCAGCAGCGATATCGGCTTGAACCAGCCCCTCGTTTTTCTCTCCTACAGCCTCGCTTCCTGTATCGATCGGCCCTGGGGCAGCAGGAAATCAGAGACGGCTCTTTCCACCCTCACATGGCTTCCAGCAGCACTATTAGCGCAGCAAACACCCTTCCACCACGGCTCTTTCACAATCAAGACATCTTGGTCTTGCTTTCCCTTTGCACTGAAGGACTAGGAGGGCAGGACGAAACAAACCGAAAGTGCATGTTTGGTCGTCGCTCCAGAGCGTGTAGCTACTTCGCCTAGAGACGATCAGGTTGCGCGTCATTTGCACGTGCAATTTCGTCCTAATTCCAGAATTACTCTTCACTCGTTCTCGTCCCGGATAACTGAATCACGACTACATGAACGGTGTTTATAGTTAGCTGCTTGGAAAGCCTTTAGTATGTCGATGCCATCGTCACGGAAAGCGTAGACAAGCTTTTAATTTGTCGATCCCATTATCGCGGAAAGCTTTGCAACCGCCCCTAGATCGGCGTAGAGCCACTGGTTTCAGTTATGTCAAGCAGCGTGTTACGGAGTGCTGATAATCTTAGCGTCAGTTTTCACCACCCGTTGCTACAGAGCTTCTCTTCGCAACCTCCACTTTTGTAGTCGAAATCGAGGTTTAGATTAGCAATTCCTGGACAACTCTACTTCAACGAGCATCCTGACTTTTTTTTCAACCTTGCCAATTGTCGCTGGTTAGATTGACAGTGACTCAAACAGCGTTATAACGAAGACAACATGCCGTCCCAGCGACTTGCCCCCTCCCTCCCGCCCGTCACGGAGGGAGAAGAGGAGGTGCGATCCGGAGACATTTCAGACGCGACGGCTCGTAGCGTAGACGCGTCGAGCAAGGCGAGCGACGGAGGGAGAAGAGGCGAGCGGGCAGCTGTGCAGGGCGAGCGCGGCGCCGCGGCGAACCAAATGTGCCGCGACGATTCGATGACGTCGACGCCGCGATCAGAAGCGTCGGAGTGTCGCACGGTGTACACCCCGAACGAGCTGCTGCAGCTGTGCGACGCGTGGGCCGCGGTGAGTTTTGTCTCCAGGAGTTCTTGATGCGTGCGTCTATTATTCATGACTGAAAACAGCTGTGGAGATTGATCAGTCGCACATAAGCCAATGCGAAAGGTTTAGAAGTTTGATAAGTAATCGGACTTGATATTGGTACTCAGAAATGTCTTCCAAAAGGCAAACGCGAGTTCCGGGTCGCGAAGAATGAATATGTTTCCACTTTTCGGCTCGCTCAATGTACACTCAGTCCCACAGTCGTTTCAAACCCGTGAAAGGGTGCAGATTGCCTCAATGTTGGGGTCTGAACCGACTGTCATGTTGGATGTCTCGCATGGTTCATGGGGTTGCCGTATTTGCCTGTCGTGCCGTGTCGTGTTTGCCTTGGCGTTTGCGTATGATAGCTAGACACTAGGGCCTTGTCAGATGCTGATAAACCGTCGTTTTGCAAATAAGTGAGACCATCGCGCCGCGTGACCCGTTCTTTTTTTACGCCTTTCTCCTTACCTTCACCTTCGTCCTCGCTACTTGCTGACAAATAAGCACACAGATCGCGTATGTCGTGTTTCCACCCTTCTCTCCCGATGACCCGCCCCTCTGCGCCTCTTTCCACCGTTCCACCACCGCTTCCCGTTCCATCAGCCATGGGAGGATCGCCGCCCTCAAAGCCAATCAGCATCACCAGCGCCACGTGCCTCCAACTCTTCATCGCAACCGTTAGATCTTCAGCGCGCACTTTCCTGCGATCGCGCTTCTCTTTCCAGTATCGGCTTGTCGACCCCCTCGCGCCTCGCGCAACGCAGGCGGAAGCGGAAGGATCTCCGCATCGCCCGGGCGCGGAAGCGGAGGTATTACTCCGCAACCGAACGCTTCCCCCGGTCTTCTCCCCCCGCACTCCCCCATGGTGTTGCGCGAGTGGGAGGAATTTTTGTTTGTTAAGAATGCTTCCCCCTCCCCCACCGCTACCTTCCGCCGATCCCGCCTTGGCGCGGGATCGGGGGAGAGCGCCAGTGGCGGTGTGGAAAGCGTAAGCGGATTCCAGCTGGACTCGGGCTCCGCGAACAACGGCGGGATTGGCGGAGACGATGCGAACAGGGATCCCGCGTTGCGAAACATTCGCCTGCCGATTCACAAGGTCGTTCGCAGCAGCTGGCCGCGATATCGCCTGCGACGTCGCGACCATTTCGGCGTCGCCATGGAGGGCGTCGCAGAGGGCGATGAGAACGAATACGACGACGACTCGTCGCCGTCGTCGCCTGCTGTCGCAGGGCTGCCTGAACGAAGCGAGAGCGATCCTTCTGCGACAGGCACGCCAGGACTAGAACAAGCCGCGACGGCGGCGGTTACCATCTATTCCGAAGCTGCGATTGGCTCGCAACCATCCCACGTGGCAAAAACTGGAACCTTATCCGTTAGTCAGCGACTCGCAGCGGCGGGCAGTTCCGCAACCGCTGGTGACCCTAGGCCCGCGTCGCGCCGCCTGTCCGGGCAGATGCGGCTCGGGGACGGAGCCGGGGGAAAATCCGGGTTAATCGACGGTTCTGCAGCCGATCGGCGTGGAGAAAACGCACTTGCGGGTGATTCGTGTGATAGTAACGGAGGTTTTGTGACTATGGCGGAAGGGATGATGGCGGGAGGAAACGCGGGGAAATTGTTTCAACTTCTGGAGCAAGTGGATAAGCACGGGGATTATTTCCGTGGTGACGTGGAGGACCCTGATTTGACGAGCAGCGTTGAGCTGGACGAGGAGGCGACGGATGACGAACCAGGTAACCCTTTCGCTTTCTACGTTTTTCTTTTCGCTATTCACGCCCGAAGTCTGTATTTTACCCAACTTGCCAAATTCGCAAATCTCATCAGCGTGTCGGGTAACCTTTTCGCCAACTTCGTCAGCGTCACAACCCCCTGAGCCCCACCCTCCCCCGCGTGTTCCCCCAACCTCCAGGGTTTCTCGCGCGGACTGACGTGGCGCGGCTCGTAACGGACGGCACGGATACGCAGTACCTGCCGCGGCTGAACAAGTACTTCCCCTTCGGCGCGTTCACCATCTTCATTATGATGCAGGTGAGTGGTTCATTGTGACAATAACGAAAGTCATTCTTTGTGAATATGACCACAATATTTATTCATCCCCACCTACCAATCTCCCCTCCACCCCCCCTTTGTCCCCCCACCCCCCCCTCCCTCCTTGATGTCGCCGCCTACCAATCACTCCCTCTCCACCCCCCCTTTTCTTTCCCCCCCCCCCTTTCTTTCCCCCCCCCCTTTTCTTCCCCCCCCCCCCCCCCCCACCCCTTTTCTTTCCCCCCTCCTCCCTTCTTGATGTCGACACCTACCGATCACCCACCTCCCCCCCCCCCACCACCCGTCCTCCTCTCCTCTCTCACCCGTTTCCTTCCGCCATCCCTCCCCACCTCCCCCTCTCCTCCCCCAGGCGCTAGTGCTAGTGGTCGGCTCGCCCACCGACCAGCACGCCATGACCGACCAGCACGCCATGACCGACCAGCACGCCATGACCGCCCCTGCTATCCCCAGCTGAGTGCAAGTTTCCCCTTTATCTCTTGCCCCCCGCCTTGCCCCCCGCCAGGCGCTGGTGGCGGTGGTCGACTCGCCCACCGACAAGCGCGCCATGACTGCCACGTCACTCGCCATCTGCTTCGCCGTCGCGACGGTCTGCCCTTTCATCAAGCGCACGGGGCACACGGCGCTCGTTCCGCGCAACAGGTAGGCGCGCGCGCGCATTGCGGGCACGCCTGTCGTGTATGTGCGAGTGAGTGCATGCGAGTCTGTCAGCACCTCTTTATCAAGCGCACGGGGCGCGCCGCGCTCATTCCTCGGGGCTTTCCCCCTCGCCTTTCCCCTCTCTTGCTCTGCCACTTGTAAGTGTCCGCTGGCAGTGTCGCTAGCAGTGTCGCTAGCAGTGTCGCTAGCAGTGTCGCTGGCAGTGCCGCTGGCAGCGTCGCTGGCAGCGCGTGTGGAATGAACCAATCTCGTCGTCCGCGCGGACGCTCAGACCCTCGACGTGCTGCTAATCAATCACTCACTGCCCCCTCCCCCTCGCCCTTTCCTCTCTTGCTCTGCCAGTTGGAAGTGGCCGCTAGCAGTGCCGCTAGCAGCGCGGGTGGGCTCCACCAACCTCTTCATTCACGCGGATGCTCAAACCCTCGCCCATGCCGCCACTGCTCCCTCAATCGGCCTCCCCTCCCTGACCTACCATTTCCCCCCCCTGCTTTTCCAGTTGGAAGTGGCCGCTAGCAGTGCGGGTGGGATCCACCAACCTCTTCATTCACGCGTCTAGCGTCTGAGCAGTCTTCGTCTGAGCAGTCTGCGTCTGAGCAGTCTGCGTCTGAGCGTCTGCCTCTTCATTCACGCGGACGCTCAGAGCCTCATCTGTTTTCCCTCGCGGTGCCCCTTTTATACCATTCCCTCCTCTCTCCCTCCCATCCAGTTGGAAGTGGCCGCTAGCAGTGCGGGTGGGATCCTCCAACCTCTTCATTCACGCGGACGCTCAAACCCTCGCCCACGCCGTCACCAAAGCCATCGCCTTCGTGCCTCTGGGAATCTGCAACGACACTGCTGCCAGCATTCTCTTTCCAGGTGTGCCCACCCCGTCTCTCCCTTTCACTCCACCTACCACTCATCTCACCACGCTGCTCATGCCATCACCAAGGCCGTTACCTTCGTGCCTCTGGCCATATGCAACGACACTGCTGCCAGCATTCTCTTTCCAGGTGGGTCTCTCAGCATGCCAGGTGATGCATTCTCAGACACGCCTTTTGAGGCGCCTCAAAAGTTCTCTCAGCATACCAGGTGATGCATCCTCAGACACGATCAGCCATCTGTCCTTCCTCCTTTCTCCCCCCTCTCCCACCCCACCCCTTCCCCCTCTTCGCCTGCTTTTGAGGCGCCTCAAAAGTCCCCACCCCTTCCCCCTCTTCTCCCCCACCAGGCCTACAGCCCTATTGGCTGCTGCTGCTGCAGCTGTCCACGTTCCTCCTCGTCGCCTCTCTCACCTTCTTTGTGCATGACCACGTGCCGTCCATCCGTACTGCCGCCCGGCCTCTAGAACCCTCGCTGTAAGCACCCCTGCCTTCGGAAGATTCACTTCCATTACAGTCACTTTCGGTAAGGTCGCATTTACTCGTTACAAGCACCTCGCTTCCCTCACCTTCTTTGTGCATGACCACGTGCCGTCCATCCACTTTGTTATAATCACACTCGTTATAAGCACCCTGCTCAGCTTTGATGGCTGCTGCTTCTGGCACTGCTGCTTTTGAGACGTCTCAAGAACCCTTGTCTCAAGAATCCTTCCGTCCCCTGTCCCCCTCCCTCTCCCTCCCGCCAGCTTCACTGAAGACGAAGAGGAACACCACGTGCCATACAACCACACCACCACCACCACTGCCAAGCATGCATGGCTGCTGTTGCTGGTGCTAACCACTCCTCTCCTGAACCTCCCTCTCCCTCCCCTCTCCCTCCTCTCCCTCCCCCCCGTCCCTCCCCTCTCCCTCCCCTGTCCCTCCCCTCTCCCTCCCCTGTCCCTCCCCTCTCCCTCCCCTGTCCCTCCCCTCTCCCTCCCCTGACCCTCCCTCTCCCTCCCCTGACCCTCCCCTCTCCCTCCCCTGACCCTCCCTCTCCCTCCCCTGTCCCTCCCCTCTCCCTCCCCTGTCCCTCCCCTCTCCCTCCCCTGTCCCTCCCCTCTCCCTCCCTGTCCCCTCCCCTCCCCTCCCCTGTCCCTCCCCTCTCTCCCTCCCCTGACCCTCCCTCTCCCCTCCCCTGACCCTCCCCCCTCCCTCCCCTGACCCTCCCCTCTCCCTCCCCTCCCTCCCCCGTCCCTCCCCTCTCCCTCCCCTGTCCCTCCCCTCTCCCTCCCCTGTCCCTCCCTCTCCCTCCCCTGACCCTCCCTCTCCCTCCCTCCCCTGACCCTCCCTCTCCCTCCCCTGTCCCTCCCCTCTCCCTCCCCTGTCCCTCCCCTCTCCCTCCCCTGTCCCCTGTCCCCTCCCCTCTCCCTCCCCTGTCCCTCCCCTCTCCCTCCCCTGTCCCTCCCTCTCCCTCCCCTGACCCTCCCTCTCCTCCCTCCCCTGACCTCCCCTCTCCCTCCCCTGACCCTCCCTCTCCCTCCCCTGTCCCTCCCTCTCCCTCCCCTGTCCCTCCCTCTCCCTCCCCTGTCCCTCCCCTCTCCCTCCCCTGTCCCTCCCCTCTCCCTCCCCTGTTCCCTCCCCTCTCCCTCCCCTGACCCTCCCTCTCCCTCCCCTGACCCTCCTCCCCTCTCCCTCCCTGACCCTCCCTCTCCCTCCCCTGTCCTCCCCTCTCCCTCCCCTGTCCCTCCCCTCTCCCTCCCCTGTCCCTCCCCTCTCCCTCCCCTGTCCCTCCCCTCTCCCTCCCCTGTCCCTCCCCTCTCCCTCCCCTCTCCCTCCTTTCAGATTCACTGAAGACGAAGAGGAACGCATACAACACACCACCACCACC